CAATTCAGGCTCTGGCTTTTTGAATATCTGTCCCTAGCCTTTAACTACAAGTCTACCAATGCAACAGAGAATTATACTAGCACAGCTCTAGTGCAGGGGTAGGCAACATTTTTGGCGGGAGTGCTGAAAAACGTGAAATATCTACCTTGTAAGGTGCTGGAGTGCACAAGTAAAAATGCTCTCAAATAAAAGATCTTTTCTTAGTGGCTGCCTTGGCCCTGCTTCTGACAGCTGAGTTTGGTGATGTTAAGCTGTTGCTTGTCATCAAACTCAAACATGAATCTGAATTGTCAGTTGTCAGATGATTTCTCATAGGACTTAGTATGGCTTTCATTTGTGAAAACACTTGTTCACAGCAATAAGAAGATCCAAAGACAAACAGCAAGGCAAAAGCTACTTTTTCCGTGCAGGCATACTTTTCAGGAAGGGAAGAACAACATGCTGTAACCTTGAGTTGTCAGTCCCTTTCATTCTTAAGTTCACCTTGTAGCGATTTGAACTTTGATACCTAAATGCATGAGCTTTGAAAATCAATCAGTTCCAGTTCAAATCCTTCAAAGTTCATCCACTGACAGTACTGCAGTTTTATAATCACTTTCCCTGATACTGTCCAGGTTCACAAGAAATGAAAACATGGGTCCTCTGTTGCAAAAGTCCTGGAATCATCTAGTGAACTCATTGTCCAGGTGTCCTATATAGTTGCATACATCCCTATTATTCAATATACTGCTCCGAATGGATTTTCAGACTGGGGAAGTATCGGAAGGCAGATGTTTTGACCTAGTCTGAAAACAGACAACTTATCACAAAAAACTTTCCAGTCTTCAGACAGCTGAAGGATGGTTTTCTGTGTTCCTTGTAACCTAGTATTCAGATCATTTAAATGTGATGTGATGTCTGTCAAAAACATCAGTTTTGTTAGCCATCTGTCATCAGTAAGGTCTGCATATTGCTGACCACTTTCCTCAAGAAACAATTTGATGGATTTGAGAGACAAGTAACAAATCACTTGAGCACGCTTCCTCTACTCAACCAGCACACAGGTACTCCTCACTTAATGTCGTCCTGGTTAACTTTGTTTCATTATTATGTCGCTGATCTATTAGAGAACATACTCATTTAAAGTCACGCAATGTTTGGTTATAACGTTTGGCCACCGCCTGCTAGTAGGTAACTACTGTGACGCAATTGGATTTGCTTAACATCGTTTTGCTTGAAGTCGTAACTATGACGGTAAGCGAGGAGCTATACCAGGGGCGGGCAAAATGCGGCCCGTGGGACAGAAGTGGCCCACCAGGCCATTCTACCCAGCCCACAGGGCCCCTAAAATTTTTTGAAAATTAATATTTATCTGCCCCTGGCTGCCTGTCATGCGGCCCTTGATGGTTTGCCAAAACTCAGTAAGCGGTCCTCCGCCCAAAATAATTGCCTGCCCATGAGCTATACATTATTGTGCAGCACTAAATCTCCATATGCAGAATTCATATCATTGAAAAGTTCATGGAATCTCCTGTGTGTCAAAGAGGAACGGGCAATCACAAAGTTGACAATTTTCACAACTGTTGTCATGATTTCATTTAAATCAGAAGATGGGATCTTAGCGCATAGGCTCTCCTGATGAATAATACAATGGAAACTCAAAAGAGGATGTCCAATTTCCGTTTCCAAAAGCTTTATTAATCCAGCTGTTTTACTTGCCATAGCAGGTGCACCATCAGTACTAACAGAGAACACTTTGTGCGGGTCAATTTGTTGCTGTGTAAAATATCTTTGACCAGATTAAGTATATTGTTGGCCTTTGTTGTGCTATGCATAGCACTCAAAGAAAACAATTCCTCCCAAACTTCCCCGGAAATAAAATATTGAACAATTATATCAAGACAGAGGATATATAAATCATTTGTGTCTGTGCTTTCATTCAGTGCAAGGCTCATCACATCACAAGCACAGGTGACAACGGCATTTCATCAATACAATGATGTCTTTCTTATTCGCAAAATCCTGAAACAGATTTTCAGCACATTTTAAGAAAGAATCCTTTAAGTATTCTCCATCTGTAAAACGCTTGCCTTTTTGAGCTAGAATGTAATTTGCCCGTGTGGAAAGAGCTTTTCTAGTGGATTTATGTTTGTCTGCTTCATCGACTACAGGAAATTTGGCTTCGTGCTTGGTTGCCAAATGGTGCTGGACACTGGAAGTACGAGACACCACACTCTCGCAGCCCAGACTACAGACAACACGATCCCCTTGCTGCACAAAACCATACAATTCTCTCCATGCTGGCTGAAACTTTCGAATATCTAACTTTGTTTTTTTTACTATCCACAGTTATATATCTATATGCATTCTAACTGTAAAATTTCCTGAAGTTGACACAAACCAAAGGCAGCACAAACAATGTAGACAGGCAAATAGAAAGCAGAAAATGCGAAAGAATTGAATTGTTTGACGTGTGTATAAATCTGGGTAAGCATTTCTAAAAAGGTAATGAGAGAGCAGAAACACACACAAAGAAGTGAGTAATATGAGGTGTTTAAAACTAGGAATGCAAAGTAGAGAGATCAAAATAAACTGAATACGAACTGTTTTAATAAAGTAAAGACCTGAAAAACAGGAACTGGTTTAAGCGAGTGAAAAACTGAATAAGAAATGATTTAACAGAGCAAAATAAACTGAATAATATGAACTATTTTGAGAGAACAAACACTGACTATGAATCAATATAACAAAGCAAAATAAGCTGATTCATGTAAACTGGCTTGAAAGAGTGCAAAAGCTGAATATGAATCTATTTAACAGAGCAAAATAAAGTCAATGGTACAAACTGGTTTGACAGGGCAAAAACTAAGTCTGAAATAATTTAACAAAGCAAAATAAACTGAATAATATGCAATCTTAAACTCTGTTTGCAGAAATCAACACCAGCCCCAACAGGCTACTGAGCTAACTGCTGCCCAGAGCCATGGGCTTACCTCATGTAAGCAGAGAGGGAGGGGCAGATTTGGAGCTGGGCTGGTACCTGTGCCCCTCTATGACCCAAACCCCCAACGACTGACCCCCTATGGCCCAAACCACACCCAATGGATCCAGACCATGCCAGGACAAGAAATGCAAAACCTGCCAACACATCTTCACCACCCCCACAATAACTACTCCCATGAATGCCGTGTGCACCCAGAGGCTGGCGGGGCATGGCGAGCTCCTGCTGGCGGTGGCGGCACTGTCGGCAGTGCAAGCATGGCAGCAGCAAGTGGGGAGCTCCCGCAGGCAGTCGCAGCGCTGTTGGCGGCGAGGGGGTGTGTGGCAAGTGGGGGGCATCAGCAACCACCCGTAGATGCCACTGGCAGTGTCAGCAGCGGTCAGCAGCAACCTCGGACCATCCATACATGCCGCCAGCAGTGTCTGCGGCAAGGGGAAGGGGTGGAGAGTGGCAACCACCCGCAGGCGCTGCCGGTAGTGTCAGTGGCGCCTTTTCGCAGGCAGTGCACCACCACGCTCGGAGGCGCACATGCACCCGCGTGCACCCGCTACGTGTTGCCAACGACTACACCCCACAACAGAACCAATCACCACTCCTGGATCTTACACCTGCACCTCCAGAGGTGTAATACATCTCATCCAGTGCACCAAATGCCCTGCTGGGAAATACGTAGGAGAAACCAAACAACTGCGCACCAGCATGAACATGCACCGAAAATCTACCGAACACAAGAATACCCAACTCCCTGCGGCTGCACACCTCTCACCCACAGTCACTCCCTCGCTGATCTCTCGGCTCTCGTCCTCAAAGGGAACCTACAACACACCTTTCGTAGACGAGCCTACTGGATTCACTTCATAAAATTACAGCATACAAAAAACCGTGGCCTCAATATAGACACTGGATTTCTGACACCTTACAACCTGCCTGGTGTCTGATTCACCAGGTACCCGCCTGACCTGACCCGACCTCTTACTTTCTCCCCTCCCCTCCCCTTTGTCATCCTAATTTCCAGCTATTTCCTTTTTCCACAGACAGCCACTTTTCTACCTTGAATTACTACCTTTGTAGAGACTTACCTCTGGCTCCACCCCCCCCCTTTTCCTCCCTTCCCTGTTTTACCTTTCATTTTCCTAATTTCTACCCATTTCTGTTTTCACTGATTGCACAGCAACCAGGAGGGAGTCTCTTCCCGACTCCTGAGCCTCGGACAGTAAAGACATTTTTGGACAGTAAAGAAGTTTTTCCTTACGTCCGGTCTGAATCGGTCTTCCAGCAGTTTGTCACCGTCAGACCTCCTGCCGCACTTGTAGCTTCTCTTATTCCTCGGAGGGTCTCAGACTGTTGCAGACGGGTGACTGTGCCCAAAAGCTTGCTTTGAATTTCGCTCCAGCGACTCCGTCGATCGAATACAAAGCCGCGCATCTGCCCGACAAACGTCGCATCCCCCGCCCACCCGGTCCCCCTGCAGGTGGTGCCAGGGGTGGCAGGATCTTTGGGTAGATGTGAGACGTCTTGTATTTATTTGACTGCTGCCCGGCCCACCTCCCTACCCCACCCCCACCCCACCAAGACCGGGGCCCCCATGGCGTCGGTGGGTCACCGGTGCCTGAGAGGAGGGCAACCTGCGGCCCGCACTTGACAGGCGTGAAATGACACCGAACATTTATAGGATCCACCTGGTAGGAAGATACTTTTACACTGCGGCTTCACGGTCGGGGCAAAGTGAGGTCGGAATTAAAAAACAAAATAAAAAAGTCGCCGAAATCCCGCTTCTCACACGGGCCTTGCCCGCAGCACGGGTCCCACCGGGCCGCGAGACCCGCCCTCCCCGGCCTGGCCCGGCCCCCGGAAGGGGCAGGCGCCGCTCGGGCTCGGCGGCGCGGGGACGGGGACGGGGACGGCCCGGCCCCCGCTCCCCCCTACCGCCGACACTCACCGCCACCGCCGCGGGAGTGGGCGCGACGCCCGCCGCAGGTCACGGCCCGAGCGGCCGGGAGACTGAAGGAGAGACGGAGCCGAGCGCGCAGGACGCTTGAGGCAGGGCCCCTCCCCCAGTCAGGAGTCCGCAGGGGTCAGACGAGAATCAGCAGGGGAGGCTGGGCTGTGCAGGGCTGAATACAGCAGGCCCCTGGGGTTTTAAAACGTGACAGTCATGTGCGTTGCCCTTCCGGACCGAAAGTCGTTGGTGTCCTTACGTCACGTGATGAAACCTCCCGGGACGGAGTTGGCACCCTGAGGTCAGACCGGGAGGCTGCAGATTGGGACACGTCGCGGGTGCACATGAACCCCCTGAGCGTGGCGGTGCGCCCCCTGCGGAAAGGCCTGCAGGCGGTCGCCACCCCCGCCGCTGGCGGTGTCTGCTGGCTGTCAACGATTCCCGCTCGACACTGCCGGCGGCATCTGCGGGTGGTCGCCGACCCCTGGTCAGCACTCGCCCCCCTCCCCAGCCGCCGACAGCGCCAGCGACGTCTGCGGGAGCTCCCGCTTTCCACTGCTGCAGGGGGCACGCGTCATTCATGCTACACGCGTCTCCGATCGGTAGACCCTACACGCGTCTCCGATCGGCAGACTACAAACTGTTGGTATGTGGTGGAGAACGTACCAAATACAATGAAAATAACCTGACTCTGTCCCTAAAACAGGTCATCGTTCGGAGTCAGATTTGCTGCACACAAGTGCGTGATTTAGTACAGTTAATTCAGGAATTCTGACGAGGAGAGGATTTTATGCTGATAAATAGGAAGGGATGTTGTGTGTCAAACTATCTAATAAATTAACTTGTAAAATATTCATGTATGGAAGCGCTGTTAGAACAGTTAAGATGCTGGAGCCATATCGCTCACCAGGTTTCACTGACACATACTGATTTATTTTTCTACAATCATACAGTGTGCTGTAAACAGGTACTTGGTTGTAGGGGTTTTTTAAATCATAAACCTGACGTTCTTACTGAATTCCAGGTTTTCTGGTGAGCAGCCTTAGTAAATCGAGGCCAACATTTTAGTTAACCTGAAGCTTCCTTCTATAACCTTGGTGAGTGTATGAACATGGGGTAGACTAGGTATGACGAAGGTAACAGTTTGTTTGGAGTAAAACCAACACAACTTGTGATTTCAAAGTCAGCAGCAACAACTTGTAGAAAAGACCAAGTCTGACTTCCTGCCTTTTGGAAAGAGCTTGAATGCCCTTTGACTATACCTTCCAGTTCAGTATTTGCTATATAAATCCTCGTAATACAAGTCTTGTTATACCCACATTGAATGAGGCAGAGATACTGTGAAGAGGGGAAATTATTGGACACTGTATATGTACAGGAAATTAATTTGTGTATCTGAAAATTTCCAAATTTTTATTTATTTACTTTTTTGCCACCCCAGTAACATGTTTAATGCCCCTTTTTGGATTAGTGTATCCCTCTTGTGCTTAAGAGCAGGTATTGTCATAAATGCACACATCCATTTGTACTGTTTTGGTATTTCAGTAATCTGCTTATCTCTTTCTTACATTTGATCCAAATAAGGTAGGGTTTAATTAGTATTAGTCTCTGGCAGAGATTTCTAGATGGGAAGTGCGGGGGGATGTATGTTGCAGAATACAGGCAACCGCCGCTTAGTGCTCTTAATTGGTTCCAGAAAAACTGAGCATTAAGCAGAACCGCATCAAGCGAAACCCATTTCCCCATAGAAATGAATGTAAGTAGAGATTAATTGGTTACTGTCTGCCCTGCTGCTGCCTCTCCCCACCCCCTGCCCGCCTGCTGGCGCTCCAGCCCCACATACCAGACTGGACCTGTGCTCCTGCTGACCCGCTCTGGGCCCCTGCTGGTCCTGGCCCTGGGCACTGGCATGGGTCCCACGCTCATGCCCAGCCCCCCCTCACTGCTGCCACCTTTCCCCACCCCCCTCACCTGCCTGCTGGCCTCTCCAGTCCCACTTGCAGCCTGGGCACTGGCACTACTGCTGTCCTGCTCTGGGCATCGGCCCCTGCTGCCAGGCACCGACACATGCCCCGCACTCCTGCCACCCCACTCTGGGCACTGACCCCCACTGGCCCAGGCTACTCACCTCTGTTGACGCCACTTCTCCCTAGCCCCATGCCTGCTCCCGCCTGGGCACCAGTGCTCCTGCCGCCCTACTCTGGGTGCAGGCTTCCACTGGCCCCGACATGGGCCCCACACACCAGTGGAGGCCCCATGCTCCTGCCCCCCACCCTGGGTGCGGGCCTCTGCCGGCCCTGGCCCTGGACACCGACTTGGGCCCCACGCTCCTCCCCTCTTTTGCAGCCGCTTGTCTCTACTCCACCCCCCCACCTGCTCTGGCACCATGTGCCAGCCTGGGCCCGTGCTTCTGCCGTCTCGCCCTGGGCCCTCATGCCTGCCCACCTGCTCACTGCTACTGCCGCCGCTTCTCCCTGCCCACCCGCCTGCCCACCGACACTCCGATTCCACTGAGTACTGTAGCAAAACTGGCTGACCGCTCAGCGGAATTGGGTGTTAATTGTAAACGAGTGCCATTGTGAAATAGCGCTAACTGAAACTGCGTTAAGCAGGGGTTGCCTGTAATGACCCTTGTGCTGGTATCAAAATTAGTCTTTTTTGCTAGGTGTGTCTTTATGTCCTCCTGCTGATGAATGTTTGTTTGTTTGGTTTTTTTTAAATAGATCATTTTTTAGAAATTATCGTGCTACACATTTCACTGGGAACCCTTTTACAGTTGTAATTCTAATTACTTGATATTCAGGAAGAGAATTTAAGTCCATAACCTTTGACACACAAAAAGTATAACTTACAGTTCAAACTGGTTATATAGTCAGGCTTCAGTCATAATTAGCTCTGACTTAATGTCATAATTAGATCTGTTGTCAATTCAGAAGATCTTGTCTAGTGCCTAAGCATATGTGGCAATGTGCGAAATACAGACACCATATCTTTTAACAGTAGTTAAAATAGTTGTGTGCATGCAACAACCTTTGTTGGATATATGGATATTTTTGTTACTTTTCCCACAACTGTGCAAAAGTACTTTACTCCCCCCCCCCCCAAATATTAAACACCTGAACACGTTAATTTTCTGAGTAGAAAATTTAAGCTTTTTATGGAATCATTTTCTGCATCATGTAGAAATCAATATTCCATTTTTTAAATCCAAGAAATGGGAGTTGTGTCGAATAGAATAGTTTGTTTTGCAGAATGCTTGGTAAGCTTTAGAAACCTGTTCAGCCTTTGCTTAATTGTATTCATTGATTTCAGTGCTAGGAGAGCTAGCTTGTTTTTGAAATTCTTGATTCCCTCTGCCCCAATGTCCCACAAAATCTGGATGCCAGGTGAGTTCCAAGTTTGCAGTTATCTGCCAAAGGTTACACTTCCTGGCGTGTTGTACTGATGTAACGTTCATTTCATGCTCTTGCTCTTATCTCATTTTTCCTTTGTAATTGGTTCTTCTCTAATCATTCCGTTCATCTTTTACTGATGTTTAATAGGTTACAAATGGTGTGGGTTTTTATCATGAATCGCATGAGCTCCCAGAGCAGTTCATCCACTCAACGTAGGAGAATGGCTCTCGGGATTGTCATACTTCTCCTTGTTGATGTGATATGGGTTGCCTCCTCAGAGCTTACATCGGTAAGTGTTGCTTTAAATAAAACAAACAAACAAACACATTTATTTTAAGCATAAAAAAGAGGGGGCTTCTGCTGACACTATAGTATGTTAACACTCAGTTTTCCACTATTAGCAACCTGGTGCTCAATCTTTTGGCCATGGGGGCCAGATGAGTGACACAGGGTTGGTTTGCAGGCCAGATTGGGCCTCACACACCACGATTGAGCCCTTTGCTGTCTCCACCTGGCCCTGCACTCTGGATCAGGCCCTGCGCAGCCTTGGCTGGCGCCCAAGTGCTTGGATCATGTGCTGGGGTCACATGCTACCTCTATTGGGCTCCACATATCTGAAGCAGGCTCTGGGGCGCCACGCTGCCCCGTGTGCTAGTTCATGTTATTCAGCCTGTGAGGCTCTCCATGGATCTTAAACTTTGTCAGTAGAGTGAGTGATGCCACTGCTCCCCTAACTGCCAAATTTTAGGACCCATGAGGGAATCCCATAGGCTGGATGACACAGCGCCAAGGCCAGATATAGCCCATGGGCTGGGGGTTGAGCACCCTAACCTGGAAGTATTCTACTTCCCTTTTTCCTTTTCTTTAACCATAACAAAAGCTGTGTGAACTTAAATCTCCAAACCGGCATAATTTAAGGGTTATAGTTTTAATTTCAAAGTCAAATATTTAATTTAAAAATTTTCAATATCTTGAATCAATAAGTATTTAACTTTCAGTTAGTTAAAGTCAGGAGCTGATTTTGTTGATGGACATATTGGTTAAAAACTGCCAAGTGTTTCCCCACAGACCTAGTAATCTACTTTATATCCTTAAAAGTGGGTTATAGATTGAACCTGTCAATCTGGCTCTACAAAATTTAGGGACATAAGTCTAGAAGAATCCTCAGTTACTGAGTAAATTCTGTGCTACTGCAGGCAATTGTACTACTATTTAATCCAGTTCGTACATTTATTAAGCTTTCTTTTTAAATGAGTTAGTTCCCGCTAACCTTGCTGGAGGGTATTCTAGGAACTTTTGCATAGCCTAGTACCAAAACGCTCTGGCAATATTGTTCTTATAATGAAGAAATAACAGTGTTGATGTAGAAGGGGAAAACACTACGTTTACTACTTATGTTCTTCAACAATAGCCAGGTGTTGAATTCAGACAAGTTGGGTTCAAATCAGGCATGTTCTTCTAAACTCCCTTGAAATTTTATAACTTCTATCAACTTTGGAATTTTCCATATTAAAGTGCAGCTGTTAATATGCTGCAGTTCACTTTAAGTACCCCATTTGTGCGTGTATGAACTATGTGTTAGGGTGGTTGGTTGTAGCCATGTTGGTCTAAGGACATGGGCAGACAAGGTTCTTTGGGTAACTGTGATATCTTTTATAAGATCAAATAAATAGCTCCACCCAGGAGAGAACATAAGGCAACAACATACTCTCCCTGTGCCTGAAGAAGGGTGTTTGTACCCAAAAGCTTGCAAAGAACAATTTTTCCATTTTTTTTTTTTAGTTGGTCTAATAAAAGATACCGTATTTACCTAAAGAACCTTGTCTGCCTGTGAACTATGGTATTTTCTGATACTGAACTTGTATTTTATGAGAAAGAAGGCTTGCTTTCTTGGGGGGTTTTTTATATTATTATCTTTAGTGGCCTGGCCTTTTTAGCTGCGTCTGTAAGTGGTCCTTTATTGGAAAACCTTTTTGAATTCAGATCACATTTCAGTAATGTTCTGATTCTAAAATGCATAAGTATATTGACTACTTAAAGTGAATTTAGCTTGCCTCTTGAGGCATTTTATCAATAGCTTCTCTCTAGTGATGTTATACTTACGATGCTTTGGTTAGTTCTAGAAAGGAACTGCTGGGCTAAAATGAGCCATTTGTCAATTTGATCACACATTCATATAGTCTTGCACCTCTTTTTTTCAAGTATACCTATAGAGTTGGTTTGAACCATGCTATTTTAAACGCACTGATTAGTCACCTGACTTCTCACCTAATTACTAATTATGAATGCTATAATTATCTTCCTTTCACAGTATGTTTTTGCGACGTACAACAAACCTTTTTTCAGTACCTTTGCAAAAACATCCATGTTTGTTCTATACCTCTTGGGATTTATTGTTTGGAAACCATGGAGGCAACAGTGCACACGTGGATTTCGTGGAAGGCACACGGCTTTTGTAAGTCTTCAATAACTTCATAAATAACTTGTGACATACAAACATGCAGAATAATTCAAAAATCAAATTGGGCAGAAAAGGATTTCAATAGCCTAAGCTGAACTCCAGAGGCAATCAAGTAACTTTTCCTTTAAAATAATATTACAACCAAAGTTGCAGAATATAGAGTGGTAATTGTAATAGTTAAATTAAAATGCAAAAGATTCACTATAGATTCAAGATGCACCTGGAATTGATACCTTCATATTGTGGTTTAGCATTTTGTTTATATCCTATTTCTTTAGAAGAATTCTGATTGGTTTGATTGCAGACTTAATATGCCATTCATGCTGATCAGGCTTGTTTTTTGTGATCATGCTTAGGAAAATGTGTAGAATGTTTCTTCCCCCCTTTCCTCCCCCCCTTTTATCTCCCCATAAAGTATATGCATAGCAGTTTCTGTTAAATTGCTCTTATAGACAGGGATCATATTTCTCCTACCGTAGGCATACTTTACATTTGCATTTAGTGATGGGCATTAACTTCAGGATCTAACTACTCTAAACTTCCATGAGACTTGGGACTTAAACCATATTGCAGAGGTATAAAAAAATACAAGCAGCATGGTTCTGGTAACTAGGACAGTAGATCTGATACCAGTTCTAGGCAAGATAATAGAAATGTTGATCATTGATGATGATTTTTTTTAAGTGGATCCTTTTAAAGAATGAAATCAGTTTTATTTAGAGAAGCTGACAGTTGGATTGATAGGAGTAGCTTCACAGGTAACAGACTTCTCTGCACAGCAGCAGTACAGCCCACAGTAAATAGTCTAAGGAACTGGCTATCTGATAGATGTTATGCCAATTGTCAGTAGGGAATACTCATTGAAACTGGACTTCATAGTCCTTATGTGCAATTTTACACGTGCTCTGGAGTGGGGGAACGTTTTGATTGCAATGGCTCTTGGGAGCTGCTTTAATTAAAATATCCGCAGCATCTCAATGTATTCAGCGTTCCACGTTTTCAAAATAACAGCGGGAGCACTTTCAGTGAAGCTCGTTCGACGAGTGTTAAAGTGCCCCGCTGCCATTTTGAAACGCAAGGGCACTGAATACATGAGATGCTGCAGTACACTGGAGCTTTCCGATTAGACCACTCCAACAGACTCAATCTGCTGGAGTTAATGAAGTCTGCTCTGACGTGCTCCAGTTGGAACGTGTCGGAGCCCATGGACAGGTTCTCTATGGGACTAGGCCCTAGTCCTGTGCCGAGAATGGCTTGTGCAGATGGCTTGAGGCCCTTTGAGTTCTGTATGAGTGCAAGAGAACACTGGCAGGGTTTTTAATACTCCTCTTCACCATATTATGGCCCGGTTAAACTGCCCATTAAGCACCTTTTTATACTAAAATGTTTGCATTCATTAGTGTCATTTGACAGTGGGTTGGTAGCGTTTTAAATCTATCATTTCTAATTAGTTTGCAGATGCTGAAAGTTATTTTGCTGCTTGTGCAACAGACAACACTGTAAAGAGTTCTTTGGTAAGTTTCTTAATGTTAAGCTGCCCCTGTTTTTGTACGATAATGATGCACCATGTCAGTCATTTCCCTCCAGTTCACACATTTGAATTAGATTTAAAAGCATTCTGTAAATAGGATCAGTTTAACCTCTCTTTTAACCAAAATGATTAAAAAGCATTTAGCCAAAATGGCAGTAATATGTGAAATACAAGGCATAATGCTACTTACTGGGAGAGAGATGTGAGATCTCTTGCTCAGATAAACATTGACATTGAATTTACACTGGACTAGGTAATATATCTCTGCGTGTCCTAAAAGGGGGATGTTCCCAGATCCATTTCCATACTTGGCGAAGCAAAGCGTAGATCTAAATGTCTTTCAATCTAAGGCAACGCAATATAACACATTCCTTCAGTTACTAGAATAGATTAGAATACTTTGGTCCCTTCCTATAGCTTGAAAGGGACAGGGAGTGCCTTTGCCTCTGGTGGAAAAAAAAATCCTGTTTAGAGGGATCAAATAACAGCAGTGGGCATTCCAGTGGAAGCTAGTGCTTATTTGTGACACTGATCTGATTGAGTCACTACCTCACTGAAATCATGCTTGGTCTGGATGCCCAAAATCAGGTTCACAAAGAATCTAGAACTTTTTACAAAAGATTCACCCCACATTAAGGGACTGAGAGGAAGTAACTGGTTGCTGAAAAGTTGAATATCTCCTAGTGGAAGGTGTGGGTTGGGGTCCCATTTGTGCCCTTCATTTATTTTCTGCCCATCCGACCATATCAAAAGAGTTCACAATCTCTGTTAGAAAATTGGGGTATTGTACCTAAATTATACATATGCGCAGTAGGGGCCAGTTGACACTGGCAATGGAGCACACTGTTAATTTTCAAGCTGATAGATGTCATGCAAAGTGAGTGCACAGTAGTGCTTCCCAGGCAACGGTGGAGTTTACAGTTATTTTTACATGCCCTCCCAGACTATTAAGTACATTATACATTAGATTAACAAAAATTAAATAGGGATGCTTAATAGTTCTGTATTAACACTTCTGTTTTTAAACAACTTAATCTGTCGAGTGTGTCAGTACATACTTTATGTGGTGCCTCATCCATACTTTATTGACATCAGGCTTTGGGACAGTGGCTTGCCAACATTTTTATTTTTAAGTATCTCCAGGACTTCCATGAAACTTACTATATTTGGGCGAAGCTAATGTATTTGATAGGGTTCATATATTTTTTTTTTTTAATGTTGAATTTTAAGAATAGTTTAAAATATATATTTTAATCTGTCCGGATGTGGCAAATGCATTAAAATGAAATTTCCTGGTTAGTGAAAGAGTTGATGCTGCTATCTAAACACCCTGCCTCTGTTGCTGTTTCACCCACATTGTTTACATCAGTGTCTTAATTTAATTCTCTGATATACTAAATTAAAAAGAACAGTTACATTGTAAGCAATAATATTAACTGCATATGCTGCTTGTCCTGCTGCATTTCAGAGTGAACCTTTATATGTTCCTGTAAAGTTTCACGATTTGCCAAGTGAAAAAAGTGGCAGTACTAATAGTGATACTGAAAAAAGTGAGTAAAGACTTTGGAATTTTCAAATGCAAGCTCTTTGGTGCATGGACTGCCTTCCTTTATATCTGTATACTGCAATCATAGTTGCAGATCTAGCTGCACATCATTTGCCTTCCTGATATCTCTGATTGTACCCACACAGGTTTCAGGCTTCCTTATGCCATTACCTCTCTTGGGATTGAATTTTTCAATTCTCCCAACCTTAAAGTCAGCCCTAGCCTGCAATGCTTTGTATATCAAACATGGTAACCCAGCAAGACCAACTGTGGTACCTGTTGTTCATTCTTTTGGCTGTCCGTGACGAAGCAACCTTTAGAGAAAAAAATTGTCCATCTTACAGTAATAACAAAGCATCTGGAGAAAAGAGAATTTTAAATCCACATGTGCTCGTATTACCTGAGCCCTGCCCCCTTCCAGTGATAGGGCTGGCATGCTTAATAACTTTAGACACCCTAGCAGGTCCTGGACTCTAACCCTTGATCAGGTTCCCAAGAAGAGTCACTTTTTATCCAGCCACAGTTCTTTGAATCAAGGCTTTCTTCTCAAAGCTCTCCAGGTAGGCTCTGCAGGTGTCTTGTGAATCCCCGCAGCAGACACTTGCGTTTTTTTTGTCTTAAGCACTTCCTCCCTTCCTGCTTGATTAACGTAGTCTCATATTAAATTAAATTTAAAACAGATAAGGCAAACATTCCAATACCCTAGTCTTCAAACACTGTTTTATTAGAATGCACTTCCCTATCTGTTATTATCTCTACTATATTTTAGTTACCATAATATAAACCAATAATGTTGGATAGATATGCATACTGTTATGCTAGCAATGAGTGCTATAGAAAATATTCAGGTTGAATTATAGTTGGTATTCTTAGAAAATAATGACATTTCAATAAAATCAGAAGGAATCCAGAAGTTAGAATGCTAAAGTTACCTGTGTGAATGCAACCATTAGATCCTTGGCTATATTCTTCTTACAAACCTAGAAGTATTTGCCAGACTCCAGGTGACATTCTTGGGGTGGGGGTGGTGTCTGTAAGGCATTTCTCCCCTCAACACTGTACTGTTACTGTTCTGTTCTTGTAGTTTAATGCACGTGATTCATTTTAGAATGAAAGACTCCAAAAAGGTGACTGAACAATGCAAGATAATCCCGTGTGCTTAACGGATTGATGTTTTATTTTCTTTCAAATGTTTCATCTCCAGCTCTCCTTTTCTAAGTAGCAAAAACCTGAGTGAACATGTGCCATTGAATGCCTGACAAAAACCTTCATTGATTTTAGTTGGGCTATGATTTTGCTGGAACTAAAATAAAAATATCACCTTGTTTCTGAACCAACTCTGGCTGTTCATAGAAGTAGTGATTAAATTATGGAAGCCTTTAAAATCTGATTACAAGGGTACAGCAAAATTGTAAGAGCAAAAGCATCACTGTAATTTTCTTATATATGAAAATTGTGTGCAAGCTGTGATTTCTTTAAAGCAAAAATCCAAGAATTTGTGCTATTCTGCATTTTTTTAAATGCAGTGTATATGTAGGATGGAAGTGGGGAAATTAGATAATAAAGTTAATTTAAGTTTCCAAGGAGTTAGCCTGAATGCATACCAGTAATTATTTAAAACAATGATAGCGTCCTGTCTCATTAGCAGGGTGGGTACCTAGTAACAAGATAGAAATTCTATAAATAAAAATTAAAGTAAATATTTTGGGTGTTAGAAGCATTTGGTTGTCATTTGTGAAGTATTATAATCAATGGGATAAAAATAAAATTACATTTTTTTCCCTGTTGTGCTTGGGTGAAAAGTTTAATGATCATGTACCACTTTTTTTTTTTCCTTTAAGCTCCCAAAAAGCCTCGTGTAAGGTTCAGTAATATTATGGAGATTCGACAACTCCCATCAAGCCATGCATTGGAAGCAAAGTTGTCTCGCATGTCCTATCCAACTGTAAAGGAGCAGGAATCAATATTAAAAACTGTAGGGAAACTCACTGCAACTCAAGTAGCAAAAATCAGCTTTTTCTTTTGCTTTGTGGTATGTGCTTTTTCTTTCAAGAAATTAAGCAGTCACGCACACATAGTAATGGAAATGAGATGCCTCTTTTTATCAGTAGTTCATCTGTATTTTGCTTCATGAATATGCTAAATGCAATACAACTTTCAATCTGGCATTTGAAATGCAATGCTAAAATGTAAAGTGGATTTTCAAGTTTGTGGTTAATTAGAACATAGCTTCTGCTGCTGGCAGGTCACACCCCTTATTACCCAACATGGGTGTGGTAAGTTATTCAAATAGCCTACCCTGGCAGAAGTCCAGGGCTATTTAAACAATAGTTGCTGTTCCTTCATGTTGTTGCAGAATGGGGTCAGGCCCCGGCTGTGTACCCACAGCTCTGTGGATGCAGCCATGGAGGAGCAACTGTCTTTCTGTTTTGGGGGATGAGGAAGAAGAACTTGTAACTAGCTGATGTCCTGCTTGCTTTTTGTGGTACTCCTGAAAGCTGACACCTTGTCTGTCTAATTCTGTGGTATTATATCCGGCCCTGCAATGATGTGAAGAGGTCTACTGGGGGAACAGAGACTGCTCTTCAACTCTACCCCATTAGAAGGGGGTGAGCTGCAAGATTTACTTAATTTCATCCGCAATTTAGTCATCCTCACTTGGTTCTGTTGTAGCTGTTTTCAGTAACATGGGAGTAGAGGTGGTAATGACAAATTTATTAAGAAACAACATTAAGCGAAAGGGAGGAGAGTAATGCCTGCCTTTCTAATGGCAGGTTATCACTGCCACTGGAGAGATTGTATCTAAAATGCCCCTGATAATGAAGCCATGCAACTCTTTGGCGAACAGGAGGTGATTCACAAATAGAACAGCATGAATGTTACTTTAACAAGGAAGTGATTTGGTAACTGAAGCTTCATGGGATGCAAGGATAATACTGAGCATGTCTCCAACATTAGGTGGAAAAACAGGTGTTTCATGTTTAGGACAGGTACTATAACCACTCCCCTCCCCCCCCCCCCCCCCCCCCCCGCCACAGGCAGGAATGAATGCTGGGTTCACAAGACCCCAGACAGGTGATCATCCAACCTCCTCTTGAAT